CCCCCGGGACGCTGCACATACAGAACAGTTGGGTTGCCAGGGAAGAGGGCTGCGAACATACACACACATCCCCCATCCCCCAAGTCCGTGCCGTACTGGTGCCTGCATCATTCTGCGTCTGGCATTTACCCACCCACATCTCTGCAGAGTAATGGGTTGCCCCCCACATGCACCTGCGCACACATGCCCGCGTACGCACGCACGCGCACGCACGCACGCACACACACACACACACACACATGCACACGCACACACATGCAAAAACACACACACACACATGCGCGCGCGCGTGCACACACACACACACACACATGCGCGCGCGCACACACGCGTGCACACACACACACACACACACACACACACACCTGCGCGCGGGCACAGGTCAACCTGCTAAAGGAAGACAGCCTGTACAACCAGGGAATGCTGCCACTGGTGCACTCGGAGAAGAGACTGGAACAGGAGGTGAGTCGGCACGGGGCTGGGTGAGGACTGGGGAGCCCACGGGCTTGGGATGCCTCACTCCAGGGGTGACTGGACGGCAGTTGCGTAGTCAGCAGGAAGGCCTGCGTGCGTTTGCATTTATTGTGTGTGTACATGTGCATGCGCCCAAACAGCCGCGCGCCCACATGCACGTGTGTGTGTGTGTAAGCGCGCGCGCGTGTGTGTGTGTGTGTGTGTGTGTGTGTGTGTGTGTGTGTGTGTGTGTGTGTGTGACGAAGGGTGTTGGTTCGGGGTGACGGGGTGCGCGTGCAAGCTCGAGTGCCTGTAGACACCTCAACTGCCTACTCTCCCATTCCCCGTACTGTCTCTTGTATGTGCAGGCCATCGGCTGGGCCCGCGGCGGACGCGGCGTCTGCTACTACTGCAACGGCATCCGCCACCGCCGCCACGGCTGCTACTACACCCTCAGCTTCGCGCTCACCCTGCCGCACAGCTGGGACGTCGTGCACGTCGCCCACTGCTACCCCTACTCATACACCGACCTGCAGAGGAGCCTGGCGGCGCTGCAGCTCTCCCAAGGGCCGCCGGGGCGCTGGCTGCGGCGCGAGGCACTCTGCAGCTCGCTGGCGGGCAACGCGGTGGACGTGCTGACGATCACGGCGGCCGTGGGGGACCGGGGGGCTGTGCCGCTTGAGCAGCGGCGGGGCGTCGTGCTGTCGGGTGAGTCGGCAGCGGCACAAGCAGGCTAGAGGCAGTCCATGATATTCAAGGCGGGCCGCAGCAGTGGCAGAATGAAGCATGGGTATTGACGCGCCTCAGCAGCACCACATCTGCATGACGGGGATGATGAGCTAGATGGAGTACGAATCAGCCCCTCAAATCTGTGTGCACACATCCCCCAAGCATACATGTAGTGCGCTGCTTTGTCCTCATCGATCACAGCGCGTGTGCACCCCGGGGAGACCAACGCGTCGTGGATGATGGCGGGCGCGATGGAGTTCCTGCTGGGACCCAGCGACGAGGCGGCGGCACTGAGGGGGGCCTTTGTCTTCAAGGTCCGCCCGCCCCGCAAGCCCCCCCCCACACACACACGCAAGATAGCAAGAGTTTTTGAGAGCAATCACAAGCCGCTGAAGCCCCAGGAGTCCGACAGCCGCGCGCTGCGCCGACCTTCAAACAGCTTTGGTGGGTTGAAACCCTGCTCCCACCGCCACCCTACAGGAGCCACCAGCAAAAAAGGCAGAAGAATTCTACTCTTGCGGCCCCCTCCACGGACACGCCCGATCTGTGCTTAAACTTGCAGGTGGTGCCAATGCTGAACCCGGACGGCGTGGTGGTTGGCAACTACCGCTGCAGCCTGGCGGGCCTGGACCTCAATCGAGAGTACCAGCAGCCGGCGGCGCCAACGCCAGAGGTCCGCGGCTTCAAGGACATGGTCCGCGCGTTCATGAGGGAGAGGGAGGTGAGCAGGCCCCAGGCCAAAGAGCCGCCTGCAGGGGGCGGTCCCTTTGGATGGGCACGCAGTCCAGCGTTGGCGGCCCCCGCAAAGGACGGTGCGGCTGCGTGCCTTGGGGCTGGTGTGGCAGTAGGCTCGCCACGCGCCATGTTGGCGCCTCAGATGGCGCTCGACTCAGATGGCGCTCGCCCGAGGTTGCACTCGTCTCGGCCTCAAACACTGCACGCCCCAGCTCTGCGCACCATGCGCCGCACCGCGGTCCCCAGGTGGTCTTCTCCTGCGACCTGCACGGCCACTCCCGCAAGCTGGGGGTGTTCGCCTACGGCTGCGACAAGGGCCCCAAGGACTCGACGCCCGCCGCGCCCGGCTGGCCCGTCCCCGGGTCCCTCGGCGGCCTGGCTGGCGTGCCGCCCCTCAGCCAGGCCCGGCTGTTTCCGCTGATGCTGCACCTGAACGCGCCGGACCTCTTCTCATACAAGAGCTGCAACTTTGCGGTGAATTGACCCGTCATGTTGACAAACATGACAGCACCCGTGGCTCCGTGTGCGTCCCTGCTATGCACCCTTTACTGCTAGTGCCATGCCGCACACAGCTGCAGAAAGTCGGCCGCGCACGGACCCGGAGCGCTCGTCACCTGTGCCCCCCGCCCCGCAGGTCCAAAAGTCCAAGGCGGGCACTGGCCGTGTGGTGGGGTTCAGGGAGCTTGGCCTGGTCAACGCCTTCACCCTCGAGGCCTCCTTCTGCGGCGCCGCCGCCGGCAGCCGCCACGCCGGGCACCACTTCAACGCCGGCCACCTGGAGGAGATGGGCGCCGCGGTGGTGCGTGGGTTTTACGGTCGTGGCAGCTGCGGCCACCGTGAACCGTACACGAGCAGCCCTGCGGGCCGCTCCAGTACGATTTTACGGCGTAGAATAGGTCATCATCTGCGCTTGCATGATCAGGAGTTGGGCTGCTCTTGGGCCAGCAAGTAGGTGGCAGTATGATTTGCTTGCTGTGTTTCACCGCGTTGTGCCGCGCGCTGCCTATCTGCTCCCTCGGCCCCGCAGGTGCGCACCCTCTGCGACTACTGGGCGCCGCCCCAGGCCAGCAACGTGGGGGAGCTGGTGCGGGTGCTGGAGATGACGTCACCGGCGGCGGGCCGCGCGGCGGCGCACTTCGTGCAGGTGCGCAGGGTTGGGGGCAGCTCCAAGGCGTTGTGTGTGCGGGGGAGGGGTTGGGAGGGAGGGGAATGAGGGCCTGGGGTAGGGACAGGGTACATCGGACCTCTAGAACATGGGTACATTGTGAGCTGCATTATTCAAAAATTGGATTGGTTGTACGTGCTGCCTTGAAACCCCCGGTGTTCTCGAATTGCAGACACCTGACGGGTTGGAGCTGGTGGAGAGGGGTGAGGAGGAGGAAGAGGACGTGCAGGCGGCGGACGGCGACGCGGCGGCGACAGACAGCGACGACGAGTCGTCGGAAGACGAGCCGAGGCCGCCGCAACGGCTGCCAGCTGCTGGCTCCGGCAGCAGGCCGGGCAGCGCTTGGCGGGGTGCGGGGCCGAGCGGGATCGCATCGGTGGCTATGGCGCTAGTGGCGGCAGGGCCGGCAGGCGACAGCGTCGCCGCGGACATCGCCAGAGCAGCCGCGGCGCTGATCTCGGGCATGCCCGCGCCGCATCAGGCGGGCGGGCCCGACGCCAGCCCCGGCGGCGCTGGGGGCGGCGCGGCCCCTGGTCCTGGGGCGCCGCTGCCACCAGGCGTGGCCGCTGCGGCGAGCGGCGCGGGAGCGGGGGGAGGTGGCAGCGGCGGGGCCGTCGAGGCAGCTGCGGCGCAGCTGGCGGCGGCGTACGCCGCTTACGTGCGGGCTGTTGGCAGCAGGGCTGCCATACCACTGGCGTCGCCTTTGCCTGCTTGCTGTCCGCGAGCAGGCGCAGCGCCTCCTGGCCTGACCCTTCCGCTTACGGCGCCACCAGCTGCACCCGCAGCGGCGGCGGCAGCGGCGGCGGCAGCGGCAGCGGCGGCCACAAGGTCAGGGAAAACAGGCGCGGCTGCGGCGACCGGCTCAAGCGGCACCCAGCCACAAGCTTTGTCCCCTGTTGCTGTCGCTACTACTTGCTCTGCTGCTGCTACTTCGGCGGATGCTGCTCCGGCACCGGCGTCAGCAGGCGTGGCCGAGGGGTCTGCTGGCGTCGTCGGGGGAGGCATTGTTGGTGGGGGGCCTACGGGCGTTGTCGGTGTAGGCGTTGACCAACCTCCTGTTACTGCAATCGAGGCGGAGCTGCTGCAGCTTATTCAGCAGGCTGCCAGGTGCGGCGGTTGTGGGAGCACCCTCATGGCACGACTCCCAGCGTGCTCCCTCTTGTTGCCTGGCCTGATCGCAGAGAGCCTCCAAGGTCCCAATGTAAAAGGTGACATGACTGCTCAGCCTTGAACGTCAGCTGGAGGGCAGAGGAAGTGCGCTTGAGATGTTGTGATGCGCGATTGCAACTCCTATCGAATCAAAACCTGCGCCTTTGCACCCCCACTCAGGCTCTATGGCGATGGCTCGCAGCCGCCTTGCACAATGCTGGCACCGGGCCGCACAGCAGCAGGCGCCATCGCCGCAGACGGCGCCGTGCCATGCAGTGGCGAAGGCAGCGGCGCGCCTCTGGCCCTTGACCTGCTTCAATTTTTCTTCAGCACAGGCGCCACCGACGACGACCCCGAGAACGCTGACCTGGCGGCCGCCTCGTGCGGCGTCGACAGGACGGCCGCCCCGCCTGCCAGTGGCATGAAACACAAGGGAAAGGGCAAGGGCAAGGGCAAGCGGGCCAAGCGGCGCGGCAGGAGCTGGGGCAACCCAGACGTCCTCAGAGCCCACAGGGAGAAGGCGGACGCGGGGCTGGCGGCAGCGCTGCCGCTGCTGGGCACTA